GCAGGAACTGCATGGAAGATGATGCACTGGGCTGCATGTCTGTTTCTAACCTAGGATGTATTTGCCAGGGTGTCAGAAAGAGCAAGACAAGACACCCTGACATCTTGTATCAAAATATACAATAACATATACTGCAAAATATACAATAACATGCCCCCCAACTTCTTCCTTAGCTTCAGTAAGCACAAGATAAAACCCTTATGAAATACACCCCATAACTCAGCATCTCATCAGTTTCTCACTACGCCCAGTACAGTATGCGCTACACATACAAGCACCAGACCCACTCAATTTATAGCCCTCCAACCAGTGTGTTGAAACTTCTGTAGCAAGATAAGAAGCAAGCTCAAATCACACTTTCTTTGCACATGGCAAGTGGCAAATGCAACGAAAGAAAAGGGCATTACACACAATATCTGGCCTCTTCCGAAAAGCAGCTTACTGCCATGAGTAAAGCAGAGCTAAAATGATCTTCAGCCAAATCCAAATCCTCCTCCTTTGAGTCAGGAGAGTTTCCACTACTGGTTTCAAGTTTCTTCTTCACTAAGTTAAAATCGACTCCTGATACAAATAACATGAACACAAAAGCAAAATCTACACACAAAGGAAATGTTTAAGTTCCTGTTTCACTACAGAAATGAGTCCAAGTTTAAGTGCTGAAGCACTATTCTTTCATTGAAGTCCCAGAATTCCAGGGTATTCTTATGAAGCAAATAAATATCACCCTATTTCTCTATTTAGGTAACAAAATGAGACAGTGACTTTCACTGAAGTTATGTAAGTCTGGTGGAATTTCCAGCTCATGCACAATTATCCAAAGAACAAACAGAATACCCGAGTTCATGAGGTAGTAACTCCCGAACTCCCAGATTTTCACTGCCTTTTACTGATAGCTTCTCATTTTCTTTCCAGTAACTATTGTCAAAGAGCACAGACTACCACCATGCCTTTAGCTGAATCCCAGGAGAAAAGGCTGCAGAAACTCTTCATTTCACCTCTTTGAAGACAAACCCACAATAAGTGATCACCTAAGCTATATAAAAATAAATGTTAAAAAAGGTAGTAAGAGTCTACATAATGCCCACAGATGGATCCTACTGAGCTGAATGAGGAGTGACATTAGCACTTTGAAATGTGAAACAAAAGGATGCTTTTATTAGACACAGTTGGCTGAAACAGAAACACCTGCTTTGAGGCAAATGGCACACATTCTGGTTCCTTGCTGGACTTGGTGGCCAAAGCAAAACAGCCACATACATTTTTATAACCAAGAAATAACACGGAATTTTCAAAAGGACAGTAACTAAAAGCTACTCAAAAAGCTTCTACATATCAATAGTAAAACTTATTATTCTTTGGTATTTAGCTGCCTAATATGTGAAGTGTTGATTTCATTGCCCTGCTCCTTCAGACGCTTCCAGACTACAGGTTCCCAGGATGGCCTCACAGAGTTGCCTCCGTCAGTCTTGACACGCACAGAAGAGAATTAGAGAACCATGGAACAATGTGGGATGGCAACAAATTTAGGAGATCTCTCATCTGACCCTGTGGCTCACTGCAGGATCAGAAATCCAGCCAGACGCAGCCCAGAGGATTCAGATCTTTAAAATTTCCAAGGCTGAAGACAGCACAGCCTTCCCTGGGTTGGCTTCTCCTATGCTCGACTGTCCTCACATGGAAAAAGATTTTCCTTATATCCTACCTGACCTTGTTGTTTCAGTTGAAGCCCTTTGCCTCTCACCCTCCTGCCACACACTGCAGCAAAAAGCCTGGGTCCATCTTCTCCATAACCTCCTCGTACGCACTGCAAAATGCTGCTAGGTTGCCCCAAAACTCTCTCTTCTCCAGGCTGAAAAAGCTTCATTCCCTCAGCTTTTCCACACGCCTAGGGCAGCTGCTCTCATCCCTGACTTCTGGGTGGCCCTCTGCTGAACTCGGACCAGCTTATCAGTATCTTTCTTGTTCTGCGAGTCCGAAACTGGGCACAGTATTCTGGACACTAAACACAATTTTGCTTGTGAGACTTGGTTTAACAGCTGAGGTTGGTTTTACGAGATCTAAGCCTTTGCAAAACACAGATGACGCATCTTTTCTTCCTTCCATCAAATTGATTGAATGCTGTAATAAATGAACAAGTTAAGTGTGGAAAAAGGGGCCTCAAATCCTGGTTCTCCAGCCTTGAGGAGAAAGCCTTACAATGAGGGTCCCACCTTTAGGACCTCTCTCTGACAAGAATACTTAGGGATTTTCACAGCTAGACCCAAAAAAAAAAAAAAAAAAAAAAAAAAATCACAATACCTGCAAACTTGCATTCTCACAATTAGGTAAACTGGTTCTGAGATCTAGTCCCTGATCCAATAATGCCTGCACATTTCACTTAATATTTAACCCATGGGTGTAAAACAAGCTTCACCTGCAAGAAGAAAGCAAAACAACACCACTCTCAAGCGCCTGTTAGTTGAAAGTCCCTTCTGGAAAAATTGAGAGAAAAAGTCATTTTTTACTATAAGCAAGACATTAAATTTTGGGGAATAAAAACTAAATTATGCTACTACATCATAGTTTAGACAGTGAAGTTAAAATAAGACTGAGACAGGCAAAAAGCCAGCTGTGTGAAACACTGTGATACATTAAAAACATGTGAAGCCAGTTTTCACATGTATGTGTTCAGGCTTACCACACAGTACCAGAATATTTTAAAGGAATATACTAGTTTATGCTTTTTTTCTATGCAAGCTGATAAAGATGCAGCTGTTTAGAACACGGTTTGGATAATATGGTTTCACAGTTAGTATTATTCAGGTCTCCCTTCCATTCACTAACATGACTGCTAGATATTTTAGCTATTTGTATCACTACAGAATCTGTATTCTTCTCATGATACACTCACCTATAATAAATGAACATTGGATTAAGAATACAATGAAGTTCTATCTCCCAACCAATCTGAAAATAAGAATGGATTTGCTTTTCATGTTCATGACAGAGGCACTGAAATGGCTTTATTTTATTATTCCTATCTTTTTAAACAACATTATTCAAAACAATTTCAGAACCTACCTAATGAGGACAATTAGTGAAAGAGTAACATACAAAAGTAAAGAACAAAAGCCCCCTGGAGTGAGTTTCAGTCAAGAGTGTTTAAACCTCACTCCTTACAGTGGTTTTGGAGTCATTAAGCTAATCAGTATTTGGATAAAGGAAGCATTTGCTGAAGAAAAAAGTCACTTCATTTTAGTGGAGGGAAGAAGGGAATGTGAAGTGTTTCCTGGGTCTATACACACAGAAACAATGTTGAAAAAGCAAACAGGGTTTAAGACAAACTTTTAGAAACAATGTTGATACATTCTCTTGAGACAGACCAATCATCAACACGAACCTACAGCTGCTGTCAAGAAAAAAACTGCCCCAGATTGTAATAATCAGATTAGAAGAGGCAAGTAGTCTGTGATATGGAAGAAAGCAACTAGAGATAATTGTTTTTCAAAGGTGAAAAACAGAATTAAGCAGCACAGAAGTATGTGCTCTTCTTTAAATCTATGAACAAAAATGAGGTAAGAAAGGCCAATATCTACTTGCTGCAAATAGATCTGATTGATATATCAGTTAGAAAAGTACTTTCACTGCCTACAGGTAACTTCTGAAAACAATGCCATCCTGCACTTCAGGTACACTGCAACTTCCATCCAACAGCTTCACAATAGTAGATGACAACCACATAAGAAGTTACATTAGAAAACAGTGATTGATTTTATTTCCCCAAGGGAAAAAACTTACTACATGCATACATATAACATATCCTCTTACTTATCAATAAGCAGTCTCCTACCTTGTAGAACTGTATTTAATTATACACCCCACATTTTAATCATTAACTGGCAAAATGCGACCCCTTTCTAGAAAAAAGTCATAAACTGCAGATTCCAAACATTAAATTTTTTTTTAAACCAATGTTTCTTAGCTGCTGATTTAAATAATTACTAAAGCCACTTTCAGTGTCATGTGAAAGAATTTAAGAGAAACTCAATCATCCACCTTTTTTCCAAGCTAACCATCTTGTACTGTTATCACTAATTCTTTATCTTAAATCTCTACAGCCTTTGAGTCATTGAGAACAAACCAACATCGTTATTTACCTCTCCCTTCAATGAAGAAAAGTGCAATAAAAACAGGAAAAAAGCAAGCAGAATATACAGTTCCAGCAGGATTTGGCAGCTACAGCCCACCTGACACATCTTTGTGCTCAGTCCTACGCACCCACTCTCAGAAGATTCACAGATGAGTGGAAGGGTTGGAAGTGACCTTTAGAGATCACCTAGTCCAACCCTCTTGCCAGAGCAGGATCACCTAGAGTAGATCACACAGGAACAAGTCCAGGCGGCTTCTGAAAGTCTCCAGAGAAGGAGATACATCAGTCTACATGAACTACTCTTCTTCCCTACATATTACTGCTAATTGACCCTAATTAATTTCTTTTCTCAGGCTTCACAGTGAGAGACCACCTCGAAAATTCAACATACAGGATTAAAAAGTGAGAGTGACTTCAAAACAGAAAACCCTCTTCCACTGCCTGTTTATGTACATCCAACCTTTGAGTTAACCAGCCACCTTTAAAACAAAAGGCATTCCCCTTGCCCCTAAATCAGAATCAGGTCATAAACCCCAGGATTAATGCAAGATGCAGGACAGCTGTGCAGCAAATCATCGCTACTGGAACACAAAACTACTGCAAAAAACCACTGCCTGCAATTGTGGTGCCAACAACAAGTGGGGGTTTTTGGCATTGAGAGGGACTCACTAGCACGCAGCAAAACAGGACACGGCAAGCACATTCCTGATTCACTCAATGAAGACAGAGAATGACGGCTATCCACCTCACATTAAACACTAACCAATCTATCCACATCCTAAAACTTGCTTTATTTCTTTGCCCGATTAATGCAACAGCGAATATTTCACATCAGCGTGTTTAGTATTTACACTGATTAATGATATGCACGGCTTGCAGTAAGAAATTCCCTATGCTGAGTATGTGAGTAGAATTAGGTTCCTTTTGTCAGTGTGGTTTTGTTGCTTTTAAGCAAAACATCCTGCTAATATATATATAAAACTCAAGCCTATTATCTCCTTTACTGAGGCTGTATAACCCTTTCTCAAATCATCTTCACACAGAATTATACTCCTGCCTCTACTCATAAGCAAATACCCCATAAGGGAAAATTTCACCAACACACAACTACAAAACTACCCTGCTCTTAAAGAAAGCAGATCAATCCTGAGACATAACCTCTCACACTGCGGGAGGCAAATGAAGAGTGCTCCTGTGTCCCTGACCTGATTTACAGCACGTCTAGACAACTTAAACTGGAAAGTTAGAAAAAAGCTTAAAAACAGGTAGTTCAAATAACCGGATCTCTCATGTCCAGCTTTACTGCCTAGTATTAACCCTAATAGAGTGTCAGCAGTTTGAGAGCACTTGGAAACTCTTCAGTATCAAAGTACATTCCAGAAGCAAGTTAAAGAAGTTTCTAATGTCTCACTGGAGAACTGAAGAGGTATCC